AGTGCTCTTAACCACTGAGCCATCTCTCCAGCCCCTGCTTCACCTAGTTCTGGAATAAATGACAATTAATTTCAGATATAAGGAATAAGTAGAAAAGATAATAGAGATAGAAGAGAAACAAAAGCTCTGGATATGTGTTCATGTGTACACGTATATGTTCGTGTGTGTGTGTGTGTGTGTGTGTGTGTGTGTGTGTGTGTGTGTGCACTCACATGTGTGTAGTCATGAGCTGACAGCTAGGGACAGCATAAAGGTGTGAACATGTGTGCGCTCCAGGACCCAGCATGTTGGAGGAGTTTCTCTGTGAGCATTGTGGGGTTACTCTCTGGAACCCCGGATGTTATGCCTCAGAGGAAGCAAAACAGGTTGCTCAAGGTATGTGACTCAGATACTGTGCTCAGAGCCCTGCAAATGCTCTTACAATTCTGTCCCTCATGTAAGCTGGGTGCTGTCCTGTCCCTAAGCACACTGTCCCACCCAGCTCCCAGAGGCTCTTCAGAGTTCTCCCTGCTGTCAGGCCCAAGCCCCATCTCTGGGCCACAATGCCACATTGGTCCACCTTGCTGACAGCAGCCCTCTTCTCTGTAAAAGGGCCCTGGGCCTTCTGTCCTCTGTATTCCAGCCTGCTGCTGGGGGCTTTCCAGGGAGAGGCTGGGCTTGAACCCAGGAGCTAACTGTGCTGAAAGGGAGGGGGGCAGGAATGAAGAGCCTCTTCCATTACTGCTGGGGTCCAGGATGGTCTCAGGGTTCCAGAGGTAGGGAAGCTAGAGCTGAAAGAACGGTCACCCCCACCCCCCTTAGCCAAGCAGTCCAACCACAGAGGCAGGAAGAAAGTTAGTCACAGAAACCACACTTACAAATGCTGTGGCTCGGATGCTGAGTGGCCCTAGAGTTGCATGTGTATTGGGAAGGGGTGAAACATTAAGATGTGGGCTTAGTTGGAGGTTAGGTTACTGGAGATGAGCCTCCGAGGGGACTGTGGACCCCAGCCCTCTCCTCCTTTGCCTGGAGTGTCATGGAGTGCAGACTTGCCCTGCCCCATGCTCCCCACTCTAATATGTATGCTGCCTCACCACAACCCCAAGCAATAGTGTCCAAAGACATGGACTGAAATCTATAAAACTGCAAGCTAAAGTAAACTTTTCTACCTGCAATAAGATCTCAGGTATCTTATTACAGTGCCAGGAAGTTGACAACACAATAAAGTTATCTCTGGAAACTAGGAGCTAGCGCAAGAGGTCCATCTGTAAAGTGCTTGCTGTGCCACCAAGGAGACCCAAGCGTGGTCCCAGAACTTAGGTAAAAAGTGGTGCAAACTTGCAATGCCAAGGTGGAGACAAGCGATCCCTGGGGCTCAGAGGCTAGCTAGCCTAGCCTAGTTGGCAAGCCCCATACCAGTGAAATAATCTGACTCAACAAACAAACGAAAGAACGATGTTAGAGGGATGGTTCAGTGGTTAAGAGCAAGTACTTCTCTTGGCAGAGTTTCATTCCCAGAACCCACTTCAGGTAGCTCACAACTGCTCTTAACTCCAGCTCCAAGGAATTTATCACCTCTGGTCTCCTAGGGCACTTGAACTCATGTGTACTCATCCACACACACAGACACAGACTAGTACAATACAAACAAACAAAAACCCCTGAAAAAACAAAACAGCCAAACAGAAATACCCAGGGTGAATGGTGCCTATAGAGTAAGGCAGAATAACACCTGTGCTGCTGGCCTCTGCAGGGACCACACATGTGTGCATGCATATATCCTTATATGAACACATACATACATCCACACACCCACAGAAAGTTATATTCTGGAGCAATATAACTCAGATAAGAGAGTGAGCATGAAACATGATCTTAACTTGGTGAAATGCTGACCATAAATGGTAGGATTATGGGTTATTTAAATTTTTTTTGTATATTCATGTTTTCCAAATTTCTACAAGTATGTACACACACACAGACACACCACACTTCTTATTTTCTTTCTGTCTTTAGAACAGGGTTTCCCTAAGTAGTCCAGGGCGGCCTCAGGTTCCCACTTTTCTGCTTCAGCCCCCCAAGTGCTGAGGTTCCAAGCTCCAGGAAAGGCTCAGGTTCCCACTTTTCTGCTTCAGCCCCCCAAGTGCTGAGGTTCCAAGCCTGTGTCACCACGCCTGGCTTCTGGGTTCTTTCTTACAACAGTGGGAATTGACTGTATTAATCGGCAGTTCTATTCCAGAAGCAACATTCCTGGGCTGGAGTTGGGCTCAGCAGATATCTGTGACAAGATCACTTGGTGGAAAATGGCAGTCTGTGGCCAGAGGGAAGTGAGTTATTCAGATTGCAGCTGTGATTCTGGGTCTATTCCCGAAGGTGGGCGTCTACTGACCTTTGTGTAAAGTGGGAAGTGTCACCCTTTCTAATTAATAAAGGGAGGAGATTGGTTAAGAATAGACAGAGATGGAAGGGAGCAAGCTCATTAAACTGGGAGCTAATTCACAGAGCACCCAACTACCCTGGGAACACCAGAAAGCACCATGCCCTGGCCTTGGGCAAGCTCCTCCCCACAACCATGGCCTATTCTCAGACTTGAGACTTCCCTTCCCTGTTGTTTTCAGTCTGTTTGCCAAAGCAACGGAGGATTTTTGTAGAAAAGTTACAGACAGGGAAAACAAAGAAAACCACCACACATGCTCATCATCCCACGGTATCCAATGTTCCTTCAAATGCACATTCCCCATCTTCCTGACTCCAAACCAGGATGGTACTCACAGTTTCTCACCTCTCCCTGTCTTTCCCTTTGGAAAGCTCTTAAACCTGTTAGAAGAGTGCAAATAGCACAATGAACCTTCACCCACATTCTCCACCCTTAGCTTTATCTCCCTTGCACTCTATAAACATTTCCCCAGATTTCACCATCTATTACCATTTTCACTTTGTCTATAAATACTTTCCTGGATCCTTTGGAATCACGGGGCAGACATCATGAGCTTTTCCCCTAAATTTATCTAAAGAGCAGGTCTCCAGGGTCCAGAATGAGAGAGCTCCTGAGCACGGCTGCCAAACCTCTAACCCAGGCGGTGTTGACAAACAGCCCCCTCTTCCACCGTCCCCTTCCTCTTCCAAGAACTATGAGACCACGTTGCTTTCTTGATCAAGGGGCACACTTCCTCCCATGAGATACTGAGAGCCACTTAAGCCGCTCAGCACACCGTAGGAAGGGGGAAGCAGGTAAGAGGCTGGAGTGCAGCTCAGGGGTGGAGGAAACTAGCTTCGCTGGCCAAGACCCTCTCTTCCTTTCTAGAAAAGGAAAAGCGTGGAAAGTGCCCTGTGACAGAGAAAGCAGGGGGAGCTGTCCTGCCACCTAGTGGTCATAGTCAGTATTTCCCCAGGCACTCTGATTTTTTAAAAAATTCTTTTAAATTTGTTTTATTTTATGAGTATGAGTGTTTTGCCTGCATATATGTGTGTGCACTACATGCAGCACCCTCAGAAGCCAGAATATGATGTCACAGTCTCTGGAACTGGGATTACAGGCAGTTGTGAGAAACCATGTGGATGCTGGGAATGAAACTCCAGTCCCTTGCAAGAGCAGCCAGTGTTCTTAATCTCTGACTCATCTCTCCAGACCTGGGGCATTCTGATTTTAAAAGATTGGCACATCATACCTGCTATTTATGGAGGAAACAACCTGTGATAGTTTAAGTGAGAATGGCCTCCATAGGCCTAGTGAATGCTTAGTCATCTGGTAGTGACACCGAAAGGGTTAGAAAGATTATTAGGAGGTATGATCTTGTTGGAAGAAGTCACTAGGGATAGGATTTGAGGTTTCAAAAGCCCACACCAGGCCCAATCTCCTCTCTCTCTCTCCTCTCTCTCCTCTCTCCTCTCTCTCTCTCTCTCTCTCTCTCTCTCTCTCTCTCTCTCTCTCACACACACACACACACACACACACACACACTCTTATCTCTCTCCCCACCCCCCTTCAGGGATCAAGATGTAGCTCTCAGCTACTTCCCCAACCACGCCTTTCCACCATGCTCTTCCCCATAAAGATAATGGACTAAGTCTCTGAAACTGTAAGCAAGTCCCTAGTTAAATGTTTTCCTTTATAAGAGTTGCCCTGAAGCCGGGCAGTGGTGGCACACACTTTAATCCCAGCATTTGGGAGGCAGAGGCAGGAGGATCTCTGTGAGTTTGAAGCCAACCTGGTCTACAGAGAGAGAGTTCCAGGACAACCTTCAAAGCAATACAGAGAAACCCTGTCTTGAAAAACCAAAGAATAAACAAATAAATAAATAAATAAATAAGAGTTGCCCTGGTCTTGTGTCTCTTCAAAGCAGAACAGTGACTAAGATACAGCCTGTCTGGATTTCTGGATGTATTGTCTCACCTGCAAGCCCCAGAAGTCAGGCCTAATCAGAATGTCTACACCATGGCCTGACAGGTGGCAGGTGAGCATGGAGACAGGCTCTGAAAGGGTAACCAGCCAAGACTCACAGCTAGTAATGGGGAGAGTCAGAATTCAAGCCCAGGCCTGTCAGTCACAAACCTCTATAACTCAGTGGTTGTAATTGGGGGGAGAGTGGGCAGGGGTGAAGTCTAAATGAAGAAAGGGAAGGTGGTCTGATGGACTTGATGGGCATGACACTGCCTGTGTGACATTGCTCGCATGTCTGTGCACAAGGTGCATGCCTGGGACAAGTGAAGGTCAGCAGAAGGTGTCAAATCTCTGGAACTCCAGTTCCATGATAGTTGTGAGCTACCGTGTAAGTGATAAGAATAGAACCTGGGTCCTCTGGAAGAGCAGCAACTTCTTTTTAAGAGCAGGGTCTCTTACTGGCTTAGCGCTCACAGAGTAGGATAGGTTGACTTGTATGGTAAAAAACCTTCAATTAGCAGTAATTAAGTATGGAAAGGCTCTTAACCACAAACTGCACTCAGTGATGGCTCACCAGACACAACCCCATAGCTGGGTGGGACCTCACCAGACAGAACCCCATAGCTGGACAGAGTCTTACCTCTTCTGGAGGAATTGCTCACATCTTTTCTCCAGTGGCAACACCTGGGGGAAGGCCTGGTTACATTCCAAGTCCTTTTGAGAAATGGTGCAATTTTTGGAGATATCTTTCAGGAGGGGATAGTCATCAAAATTAAAACAGAAAACAGAATCTGTGGTGTTCTTGGCATCAACGGTAGGTGTGGCGTTATCATTTGGGTGCACTCCTGTGAGGAAGGAGACCACTGTTCAGTGTAATTGCTTTCTCCGTGGGACTAGGGTCTTCAGGGTGTGGCTCTTCATGTTGTTGTTCTCTGTGTGTGGAGGCGGCTTACCTGGCTTTTGTTGGGAGGGATTTACTTAATCACTCAGAACAAAGACCTTGCCAACATTTTATCAAAGAACATTGTGGTTACCAGGCCTTAGCCTCTTTTGGCTTGGGCAGAGGGGACTGAGGAGACAACTGAGTAATGTTGCCAAGCTTTTGTGAGGAAAACCTAGGGAAGAGTGTAGCAGGCCCCAGCACTGGGTAGCAGCCCTCACATTCCCCTCCTTACCGTGAAGCAGAAAATATGGATGGTGTGGAGACACAACAAACAGTGGCTTCCAGGGCATCGCCTCCACAGGCTGTACAGGGGCTGCAAAGGCACAGATGATTTCAGACTTGGCCACGTCCATGAGGCTCACAGACTGGTTCCTGGAAAAGATTAGCACCTGGAAAGAAAGAGAAAGAACTCTCAGACTTGGCTCTCACAGAAAGGCGGAGGGTGGAGGCCATCTTGGGACCCTGCTCCAGGACCCCCCTTCTTACCTCCTGGCATCTGTCCCACTTCAGACACTCATTGTCACTAGGGAAAGTCTGGTTCTCGGTCCAGGGCTCTGCTCTCAGCCCCTCATTGTTGGCCCTGCATTTCCAGGGCCCTTCCTGCATGCCCTTGGGGTTCCTCTCTGTCACTTAGGAACTCATCTCCTGGGGACTATTGGGAGCCAGCAGGACATTAGCTTTGATAGTGATCACTAACTGCTGCAGGGCACAGAACAGACATTTGTAGACTCGTGTATTTGGAGAGCCTCCTTGAGCCCTGTAGGTCCTCATCCTCTGCCAAGCCATACCAGAAATCGCCGGCTTTCTTGCTAGTGTGTCCCAATCATAGGCCCTGAAAGGATTAGGGAGTTGGCAGAATGTGGCGGGACCAAGCATAGTGCCCTTTTGTCCTTCAGCTGTATCCGGAGGTGGGCCAGCACGTGGGTTCTAGCCCTGCTTAGAGGATGATGTTCCCTGTTCCCAGGCTCCATGTTGTGGGTCTCATGGACAGGGGGTATGTCTGCACCCTCCGCCAGCATACAAAGGCTGGAATCTCTGCCCCGCACCTACCTTCTTTCCTCTTCATACCTATACACCTGAACTCTGGCTAGTACCTTTGACCTCTCTGGTCTGCTGTCCCCTCCTGTCACACTACCCTCCCCTCTACAACTTCTGCATTAGGTGAACCCTGCTGTGTTACACCACACATTATGTTGGTCTTCCTTGTGTTCCCTAGGCAGCTGTTTGATGACTTGTGTCCTAGTGAAATGTGAGCGCCATCAGGGTGAGGACTTTCTCTTTGGTGTGTTAGTGTTTATTTGGTGCTTGGGATGGAATCCAGGGCGAGCTAACATTTACTCTACTGCTCAGCACTAACCCTACCCAGCCTTGGGGATTCTCTTTCATATCCATATACCCCAAAGCAAATCCAATGTCTAGCATTCAGTAGGCTGTCAACAACTATTTCTGGAAGGGATGATAAACACTCTCAGAAGAGGACCAAGGACCTGAGAACCTACCATGCCAGGCAAGGCTGGGACTGAGGCAACTGTACAGATGGTTTCTTCCGGGTACTTCTTAGACCTACGGAGCACAAAAAAGGGGCATTCACCTTCTGCAAAGGTTTCAGACTTTTACTATCTTCTCCTAGGTATTTACCCCAGAGAAACTGTCTTTTTAAATTTCCTTTCGGGATTTTATTTATTTCTAGGTAGTGTGTGAGTGCTCTGCATGTATGCCTGCACACCAGAAGAGGGCATCAGATCCTATTGTACATGGCTGTGAACCACCATGTGGTTGCTGGGAAACGACCTCAGGACCTCTGGAAAAGCAGTCAGTGCTCTTAACCTCTGAGCCATCTCTCCAGCCCCCAGGGAAACTATTGATGTGTACCAATAGATATGTAAAGAGATCATTCATAGTAGCAAAACAAAGAAGCAAACAAACAAACAAACAAAGGTAGGAACAGTGTAGACACTCACCAGCAGGAGGCTGCTTAAGCAGCAGAATAGAATGCACGATGGAAACTGAGCTGGAGGTACACGTGGGAGCAAACATCAACAGCTCTTGTGGTCAATGTTACAAAGCAAGTCAGAGTAAACAGAATAAGTAGAAAGCAAATTGGAGGTTCATAGAATAGGTTCCAATCATAAGTTTCCTAAATATATACAACTTAACAAATGTACTGTTTAGAGGCAAAAATCATACATAGGTGGTAAATTCTTAAATAAAAGAAATGATGGCCTGGAGAGATGGCTCAGCGGTTAAGAGCACTGACTGTTCTTCCAGATGTCCTGAGTTCAATTCCCAGCAACCACATGATGGCTCACAACTGCCTTGAATGAGATCTGGTGCCCTCTGCCTGCATGCAGGCAGAAGACTGTGTACATAATAAATAAATAAAATATTTTAAAAAGAAAGAAAGAAATGACAAGAATAGGAAAATGGGCCAGGTGTGGTGCACACCTCCTTTAATCCCGGCACTTGGGAGGCAGAGATGGGCAGGACAGCCAAGGCTGTTATACAGAGAAACCCTGTCTCAAAAAACAAACAAACAAACAAACAAACAAACAAACACAATGTGGAAACTTAAAAACACAAAACCACAAATATTAGCAGCAACTCTCATAAAAACTGGGACTGTAGCGATGGGTCTGTGGTTAAAAGCATAAAAGCACTTGTCTTCCAGAGGGCTTGGGTTATATTCTCTACACCCCCGTGTAGAAAGTCATTCCAGTCCCGGGGCATCCGCTGCCCTTTTCTGTCCTCTGCCTGCACATGGTGCACAAACATGCATGCACCCATACACTTAGATAAAAGTACATGTTTTAAAGATTTATTTATTGCTTATATATACAGTGTTCTAGATGGCCATCATTACAGGTGGTTGTGAGCCAACATGTGGTTGGTGGGAATTGAACTCAGTACCTCTGGAAGAGCTCTTAACCGCTGATTCATCTCTCCAGCCCGACGAAAGTAAAATTTTAAAAAACTAACAAAACAAAACTTCTCCCGCTGTCTGGATGTGGGCACTTGCTTCTCCAGTAAGGTTTCAGCAGATGTCACAAAATCCAGAAGTGTGAGAAGCATTTGTGCTTTGCTGTTGCCTGTCTTGCTGATGGCTATGCTTAGGGCAGCATGTGAGGAAGCCTCGGGTAGCCAGCAGGAGAGAGCAGGAGGAAGAGAACCATTGTTTCCTGGTCAACAGTGTGCTGGCTCCCAGGAGTGAGAGACAAACTAGCCTAGGCCCTAGACCCTGGATGAGCTACCAGTGGCTGGCAAGCACTGGTGTAAGCTAGGTAAGGCCAGTGGAGACCTGATCTGCTGACTACAGGTGTGGGGGTGATGCTGAAGGGCTGCTTTCTGCAGTCAGTCATGCTGGTGGATGTTTGGTGATTGGCAGTTGGTACTTAACAACCTTCAAGGAGAAAGGAGGAGGGTGTGATCAGTTCCTTAGGGAGCGGGAGGTGATTGGTTTCTGTGGGGCATGGGGAGTTTATCTCATCATCCTGACACACACACACACACACACAGACACACACACACACACACACAGAGAGAGAGAGAAAGAGAGAGAGAGAGAGAGAGAGAGAGAGAGAGAGAAGTGATTCATTTGCATGAATATAACATTTAAAAAAGCATTTTTGAGACAGGGACTTAAATGTAGCCCTGGGACACTGGGATTCACTTTGTAGCACAAGCTCCTTTGCTTCCAGGGCACTAAGATGAAAGGTATGCGCCACCATGCCTGGCCTTATTTATTTATTTTTTTCTTAAAGATCTCTGGGGAAGCTTGTGAAAGCTATTTTGGGGGAACTGAGGCTCTCTGTGATCATATGGTACAGAAAAGGGACAGTTTTTCTGGACAACTGTGCCCTACCCACATGGCACTGTGCTCAGGCCAGGAGGGTGGTGGCTATGGCAGTGGACTCTAGGCAGAGGCTGTCAGTCTTTCCTATGGAACAGCATCATCTGTCTGAAAGATTGTCACCTTGTCCTGTCCCTAAGCCACTGACCTCTCAACAAGCACCTTGCTGGTGGGTCCCGTGGTCCTGCTGGCTGTCACCAGGTGGAGGGAAGCATCGGTACACAGCACCACACACATCATTTCATACTTCACCTGGACTTCAGGGTACACGTTCCGTCCTTCGTGCACCAGGAAGAACCTTAGGAAGTGAATGCTTTGGCAGAAACAGCCCTCGGGTAGAGCAATGACCCCAAAGAGGAATCCTAGGGAGAAAAAATGAATGTAGCTGATCAGAAAAGACGAGGTCGCAGCCATGGGTTCTAGCTCTGTGACCAGGAAGTGTTCGAGGGACATGTGTGGGGTGACGACTAAGTCAGGCAATGTGCAGCCTCTGCAAGGAGAACACCCATGACCATTGCAGAAGAAACATCGAGGGTCTTGTGCCTAGAGAGGAGCTTCGGGATGGGGACCAAGGCTCAGGGGGAAGGGGAAGAGAGCAATTGAGTCGTGGTATCTACAGCCCAGCTGACCTACGGCTGCCCAGGGGATGCTGCACAGTAGATGGGATGTGTGGCTTTAGAGACTATGTGTGTGTGCAGCCAGACAAGAATCTACTGATATCCTCCCCTTGAAATGAAAACAAGCTGTTGGCTAAGGGGCTGTGCATCATGGTTGACTCACGATCCCTAATGAAGCCTGGCTGATGGATCCTTTCAGATGTCACCATTTCAGCATCTGCAGCGCTGGACCAGGAACCTGGGTCCCTACCATGGTGCTGCCCACCCAGAACTGCTGCTGGTTTTCCTTTGATCACTTTCTAGGTCCCTCAGCTCTAATACTAGCAGAGTGCCTGCTGGTTGGCCTCAGGGCAGAACAGCATGGAAGAAGACTTGCTTTCTTTGAGAGCAGGGGCAGAGGCTGCAGAGCCTCTCAGGCTGTGCTGGGAGACACATTTTCCCTGCAGAGTAACAAGGAAGGTGATGGCTATGCTCTTAGGACTTGGTGAACTCCTGGGCACAGAGCAAGCTCTCAATGAGCACATGGGCAAAAAAGCTCAGTGGTGTATCCTGGGAATGGAGAAGGGGAAAGCAGGCCCCGCTGTCCTGAGAGGAGCCCCACTGAGGAGACCCATTGGGTGCTCCGTCGAGGGGTGAGATGGGAAACTCACCTTGGGCCAGGTCCCACAGAATGAGCACACCATCCTCACAGGCGAGGACCAGGTAGGAGGAAGAGCTGCTGATCTGAGACACTGTAATGGGCGCAGCACAGGGCCATACGTTCTCACAGTCTAGAGGGAAGAGACTGTTTGCCAGGCCCTGCCCTGCCCAGTGCCCCCACCTGGGGAATCAGGCCCAGACCGTTGTCTAGACTTTCCACCTCTCTCCCAGTGCTGTGCTTCTTCCCCAGAGTAAAATAAATCACAGCTAATGTTTGGTGGCTATTTGCGGGCACTCGAAGGACCTGGCTAGTCTTGTTACTGATTACAGGTAGCATTTCATTTTATTTTCAGAAGAGTTTTATACAGCAGGTCCTGTTAGAACACCATTTCATAGGTGTGACCAAGGCCACAGCCAGTCAGTAGACAAGTGTGTGTGTGTGTGTGTGTGTGTGTGTGTACATGTGTGGAGGATTAGAAGCCAGGCTGCATGGGAGAGGGCAGAGGAAGCAAGTCATTCTGCATGCATACTTAACTTGACTTCTACGGCACAGCATGAAAGTAAAGCACAGGTGCCATCAAAGCCTTATCCTGAGTGAACTGCACATAAGGCTGTGTTCATGGATGTGTCCAACAACAATCACTTCATGCGTTGCAACTTCAAAGGGTTTCCCTATATCAAACCCTCTGGATTTTGCTATTTACAGCCAATACACTCAGTATTCAGGCATCTGTACTGGCTTGCCTTTGGAGTTCTGACAGGATACGTCTTCAGCTGCTACCACTAAGAGCACCACCTGTGCCTATTCAATATGTTCCCTTTTAAAAGAGCCCTGTGCCCACCTCCCATCCATCTTTCTTTCTCTCCCTCTCTCTGTCTCTGTCTGTCTGCTTCCCTCTCTCTCTCTTTGCTCTTGTCCCTGGAGGCCAGTCTCCCTTCTCCCCTTTTTAATGATCCTTTTCCCTTAAAAACAAAACAAAACAAAAAACAAACAAACAAACAAAACCCCTGTGCGGGCTGGAGAGATGGCTCAGTGGTTAAGAGCACTGCCTGCTCTTCCAAAGGTCCTGAGTTCAATTCCCAGCAACCACATGGTGGCTCATGACCATCTGTAATGAGATTTGGTGTCCTCTTCCGGCCTGCAGGCATACATGCAGGCTGAACACTCTACACATAAAAAATAAATAAATCTTCAAAAGGAAAAAAAAAAAAAACCCTGTGCTTGAACTCTATTGCATGGTGCCTTTCTCTCTCAGGCCACTTTAAAAAATTACAACACATACAGCATACAGTGATGTATAATGACTTATTAGTGTTTCAAAAAAAAGAAAATGGGACATGAAGCAACTGGCCTGAAACTGCACCTTTTACACACACTGGGCTGCAAGCACTTGTCTGCTGATGCCAAGCCCATTCTCCTTTCACACCACACTCTGTGGGGCCCTGGGCACTGGGCTCTGACAAGGAACAAGCCAGGGACAGACCTTGGACACCCACTGAGAACCCATCTCTGCCTGCACAGCTCTGGTTCCCCCACACTCTGACAGCTCAGCTGGAGAAGCACAGGTTCTCAGAGCCCTGAGCCAAGGCACTGCCTCAGTCTTGGCAGCTAAAGTACCGGTTTTATCCTTCAGGTTTTTGTTCAGTGAATAGAGGGAGAAATTATGACTTCCAGTCCAACGTATGCCGAGGATACAGGCTGCTCCTGGAGGTGGGGAGAGAAGAAAGGGCATTATTAGACAACAGGTAGACTTTGGTTTGTGTGGCAAGTGTACTGTCTGTCATGTCTGATTTGTTCTAATAGGTTCCACTCAGCAGAAAGGTGGACTTCCCAGGAAGAACAGTTTGGTACCTCCATGGAGGCCATTCTTAGGGTAGGCTACAGCAGCCCTTTGGCTACATTCACAAAGATATCCACTTGGATGCCAGAGTTTGGTCTGATTGTTACGAGTTCATAACCAGAAACAGCATGACAGATGTATACACACATGACCTTCTAGGGCAGCCCCTCCCTCGAGTCCTGTGGCTCCCATTTTAGGGAAACTGGGCTCAGGGAAACATTTCCAAACAGACACTGCCAAGCTACAGCTGGCAGCCTGATTTCCACCTTCACTCCTTCCCACCATGCAAGATCTGACTCGTGGCACATCCCCAGGAGGGTCCAGTTGACCACCGTCCCACTCTTGTTTACCTGGAGGGCTCTTGGCATCCACTGGTATTGGGGATATGGAGTTAGTAAAGAAGTGGAACGTGGCTGTACTGGGAAAGAAAGACAGGAGTCAGAGCCATGTAGACTCCTTAGAAAGAAGAGATCTGGCACAATATGTAACTTAGACCAGAAATGGCTTCGTTTCTGACGATGAACCTCCCAGAGCCCCATGACAGCCCCATGCTGGGACTGAAGGGCCACACAGACCTTGGACATAGGTGAAGACAGTGCTAATGGAGTTGTGGGTCACTCATAGGCCAGCAGGGTACAGGATGGAGCCCTAGCCAAAGGAGCCCCCCCACTTTTAGAAGGCCACTTCTATCCTCAGAGGAGATCCCTTAAAGGCCAGACATGGGTGACCTTTCATAAATGCTTTCTCACCAGGGGGTCACAAAACTCAAAGTGTAAACTAGCCTTATTTGGAGTGCTTGCAGATTCTCATGGTATTCTCACAGTGGATAATTAATGTGGTCCCTAAATACCTTGCTGGGCAACAGGAACTAAGTGGGCACCATCAAGCCAGGGGAGGGTCTCACTTCTCATGTGAAAACAAGAATGTTCCAACACAGCTGGGAGACTTGGTTCTTAAACCATGGCTACTTCAGACACTGGCTCGTTATCATCAGACGTGGGCTACGAGGCTTGTCTGCTGACTGAGGTGTTAGCATACGTTACTGCTAACATACTGTAATAACTATAGATCTGTATGACATCACACTTAGAAAAACATGGAGAGCCTGGGGTGACTTGTAGCAACAGAGATCCTGCCTGGCACACAAAAGCCCTGGCTTAGATCCCAGTGCTGTAAAGTAGCAAGAAGAAATAGAGGGAAATACCCATAATGGTGGTAACATTTCCTTTTTTGTTATCTTTTCTCTATGTGCAATTTCCTTTTGAAAACCAGGAAGAAACAGAAAAGATGTCATACATGAATCTAAAGTAAACTCTATCTTATCTCCATAGGTATATGGTTCTGCTTCTTTTCCCTCATCTGGGCTTTGAACCCAGGCTTTGGTTTTATTAGACAGTGTTCAGCTGAGCCACATAGCTATTCCTTCTTTACAATTCTTTGTTCTATCTGTATTTAAGAAAACCCACAGAACATTTTACAAGAATCTCCTGGGGCTGAGAGATTGCTCGGTGGTTATGAGCGCTGGCTGCTCTTCTAGAGCAGTGTGATTCTTAGCACCTGCTCGATTGCTTACAATGTCTGTAACTCCAGTTCCAGGGGATGATCTAAGGCCCTCTTCTGATCTCCAAGGGCACTGTATGCACATGGCACACAGACAGACATGCAGGCAAAGCACCCATACACAAAATTTTAAAAGTTAATTAAGTAAAATTAAAATAAAAATTTAAAAAGAATCTGCTGCATTCTCCCAAGCCAGAATGAGATGCTTGCTTGGGTCCAGTGGTGCAGAGCCTGGCAGCCTCCTCCCTCAGGCTCACCTGAGTGGCTCCTCTTCCCACTCCCCTTCCAGGTACTTCTTGTAGGAGGCATTGAAGATCTCCATGTGCTGCTCCCACTGCACATCCTTGATGTAGTGATTCTGCCCGGAGCCTAGCCCACAGTAGTCTTCTACCTTTGAAAAGATCTCCAGGGGGCTTTTAAATGTAGTACCTGGATTGAAGAGATCCCGGGATCCACTGAAATCCCATTTCCCTTTGCGGGTTCCCCCTGCTTCCTTCAGAAGCCTCACCTCAGAAACCCATTTTTGGTCTGTAGTGGGCCTGTGACCCTGGCCATCCTCTCCCTCAATGCACAGGCTCAGAGAGCCCAGGCAGAGGGCAGCTGTTCTCCCTCTCCACACCTCCAACCCAGCATCCCAGGCTTTCTGCAAAAGAAGGGCCAAGGAAATGCCCATGGTGTGCTAAGGCCTGTGCTGCTGTCTCTCCTACAAAGCAAGGCCCCAACCTGGTAATGACCATCACTCTCTGCTATTGCTGAAGATCCCTGTTCCTACTCAGTCTCTGTTGCTTCCACTCATTCCTCTCTCACAGGACTTCTGCTCTGCTGGTCACCTTCCCTATCATTATTCCTAGAAACCTTGCATCTCCCCAAATCTGCCCTCCTCTGCTTTCTAGAACTAGGAATAAAACCCAGGATCTAACGCACATTAGGCAATCACTCTACCATTAAGTACATACCCAGTCCACTATACCATTCCGTGTGTGTGTGTGTGTGTGTGTGTGTGTGTGTGTGTGTGATAGTACATACCAAGTTCACTATACCATTCCGTGTGTGTGTGTGTGTGTGTGTGTGTGTGTGTGTGAGAGAGAGAGAGAGAGAGAGAGAGAGAGAGAGAGAGAGAGAGAGAATGTGTGAGTGATAAAACGTCTTTTCTAGGACTAGAGAGATGGCTCAGAAGTTAAGATCACATACTGTTTTTGTAGAGGACATCCACAATAGGCAGCTTACAACTGCCTGGAACTCCAGTTCCAGGAGGTTCAATATCTTCTAGATTCCATAGGTATCTACACTCACAAATGCACATAACCATATATAGACACACATGCATACAGTTAATATTTTTTTTTCTGAGACAGGGTTTCTCTGTAGCTTTTGGAGACTGTCATGGAACTCACTCTGTAGACCAGGTTAGCCTGCCTCTGCCTCCAAAGTGCTGGGATTAAAGGTGTGTGCCACCACCCAGTGATTCATATTTTCTTAATTACTGTAGTTTTGCAACAAACCTTTAATTTTTGTATTATAGCTGGGTGTTGATGGACCACGCTTTGTGGTTAAGAGCACTTCCTGCTCCTGCATCTCTCCAGCCCCCACTAATACTCTTCTGTCTTTTTTAATAAAGCATTTAAATCTTTTAGATTTATTTATTTAATGTGTATGTTTTGATGAAGGTATTGGGGTCCCCATAGAACTAGAGTTACAGAAGGTTGTGCACCACCATGTGGGTGCTAGGAACTGAACTTGGGTCCTCGTGAGAACAACACATGTTCATAACTGCTGAGCCACATCTTCAGCTTCAGCTAACATTATTTTTTTTAAGTTGATAGCTATTCTTGGCCCTTTGCATTTCTTTTTAATTTTTAATGGATGCAAAGTATTCCTTTGTGTAAATACACTAGATTTTATCTAATCAGTCTGCTGCCCTTGCAAATAATGCTATGGGTGTAGGTCACATTTTTATTGGTGTGTCTTTGAGACCATGTTAGTGCCAAGATGCTCTATATTCTCTGCTTATAATGGCTAACTGCTCTCCCCCCCTTGGTCACCTCTTACTTAACCTTCTAAAGCTGGCTCCAATATCCCTTCCTTTGATAAAGTCATTGTTTATCTCTGGGCAGAGCTACACATTTCTTTCTGTTTTCATGCTCCTAGGTGTCTCCAATTACTGTACTTAAAATACTGTACTGCGCTTTCCTTCTATTCTCCATTAGTAGACCTTCAGCTTCTAGAATGAAGGAGATTTGTCTTTCTGATCTCCATGCTTGGTTGCAGACATTAAGCAGAAGAGTGATAATGACTTACACAGACGTATGGGAATTGGTTCATTCTGCCTAGCAATCATAAATGATGTCTCTTTCTGATCCTAATTCTACTAACTGAAGTCTTGTAATATTCGTGCTTCCTTTTGGTTTTTAGTCCTAGAGCCTCAGATTTTAAAAACTCCTCTTTAGAATTATGCATTTAATTAGATATTACTGCTAATAAGTAGGAAAACAGGAATGTGGAATAGGGCTAGTAAGGAAACAGCAGGAAATCAACAGCAAAAGAAACAAGTGCTACCTCTTACTTACCTGCTATGGGCTTAGGGGGTTTAATCTTCATTACATAAACTGGAGGACTCAATTTAAGGTCAGTTTTAAAACAAATGTTTAAGTCCTAAAATAAGGGAAAGGCATATCCAGTAAGCTGACAAAGGAAATTATATGGAATCATTAAAAATAACCATTCTTAAGGATGTCAAGAAAAAGAAGAAAATGAACAGGACAAATAGAAATGGAATAGAAAGATGGTAGACTTAAGATGGTAAACTCAAGCTTGCGAATAACACCATTAAATGTAAATGGTCTAAATACTATACTTAATAGGTAGATACATCAATTCTGATTGCTGGGTGGAATTCATTCATTCTCATATCCCTGTTTTATCACCAATATTTACTGAATATGCATAATGAACCAAGCATAAAATTAAGAAATTCGCACACCTTATAAAAAGACAAATTTCAACTATATGATGTCAAAAAGAAACTCCATTTAAACCAGCACTTGGAAGGGTGAGGCAGCAAGATTATAAATTTGAGGCTGTCCTGGGCTAAAAAGCAAGTCTAAAATTAGTTTTAGCTACACCACACACACACACACACACAGAGAGAGAGAGAGAGAGAGAGAGAGAGAGAGAGAGAGAGAGAGAGAGAAGAGAAACTCTACTTCAAACTGGGATATATCAACTCAGCCAGGCAGTGGTGGCACACGCCTTTAATCCCAGCACTCGGGAGGCAGAGGCAGGTGGATTTCTGTGAGTTTGAGACCAGCCTGGTCTACAAGAGCTAGTTCCAGGACAGCCTCCAAAGCTACAGAGAAACTTTGTGTTGAAAAACCAAACCAAACCAAACCAAAACAAAACTGGTATATATCAACTCAAAATAATTAAAAGAAAGCTGGGATGGCTAATACTGACATCTGGCTTGGATTCCAATCAGAACCAAGACTACTGACAGGACCAAAGAGTACACAAGTAATATCAGAAAACATGGATTCCCAAATTGTTATACTTCTAATAACATGGTTTCAAAATACACAAACAAAAACCCCCACAGAAGTGAAAGAACAAATACAGTCTTAGAGATTCCTCTTCTAAAGGATAACAGAAATGTGAGTAAAATACAGTATGGATACAGGAAGAAAAGCAATAAGGATGCAGAGGACTGGAATCATTTAGCTAAATCAGGTAGAATTTGCCCTCTTTTCAAGTGCATTTAACAATGTAAACCGTATTTTGGGCATAAAACAAATCTCAATAGATTTGAAAGGTGTCACACTACAAAATATTCAATAAAATACTAGCAAACTGAAACCAGCAAGCTAGGTATGTAAAAAGGTGATCTTAAAAACAGAGTGGCACAGGGCTGGGGAGCTAGCTCAGTGAGAGGGTGGTTACCTGGATTGCATAAGGGCTTAGACTTGGTCGTAAGTTCTGGGAAAAAAAAAAACACAAATAAGTAATGTTACAATCAAAATAGAGAAATAGATAAAAGAAAAAATATCACAAAGGAAACATTCACAGACATATCTTTGGGGGGTTTTGTTGTGTGCGTGCACGTGTGTGTGTGTGTGTGTGTGTGTGTGTGTGTGTGTGTGTGTGTTTGTTTGCAGGGTCTCTCTATGTAGCTCTGGCTGTATTTGAACTCACTATGTAGACCAGGCTGGCCTGGATCTCATAGATATCCACCTGCCTCTACCTCCTGAGTGCTGGGATTAAAGGCATGAACTACATCCAGCTTCACACATATATCTTTATAAAATAGAATGCCTAAGTAAAATGAATTATCACTGAAATTGACTTAAAACATTAAAAAATAATGGACTGAACACCGTGGAAGTTGAAAACATAACAATTTTTTTTGCTAAGTAAGATCTCATGACTCTCACCTAAGAGGGAAAAAAGATACACATCTTACCTTACAAGGAAGGCTAGCATATCCCGACACCAGGATAAGCTGAACAGAAAACTATCCAGAGAAGTTCACACAAAAACAATAAGCCAGATTCATATCTCATATTTAAACTTGAAAATACCCGTGCACCTAGGATTGTCATGTCTGTGCATGTGTGTGCACTGTGTAGCTGGCATATGCTGGTTAGGTGTTTACATTTGTTTGTATTGCAAATTTGACACAAGCTAGGATCATCCAGGAAGAGAGACCTTCACTTGAGAAAATATATCCATCTGGTTGGTCTGGCTGCAAGAGTGTGGAGCATTTTCTTCACTCATGGCTGATGACAACAGAGGGCCCAGGCCACTGTGGGTGGTGCTACCCCTGGGCAGGTGGTTCTGGATAGCATAAAAAGGTGGCTTAGTAAGCCAGGGGGAAGTAAGCCACTCAGCAGTTTTTCTCCATGGTCTCTGCTGCCAGGTCCCTGACTTGAGCTCTGTCCTGGCTTCCCCTGAAATGACCGTGACAGGGAAACATAAGATGGAATAAACCCTTTCCTCCCCAAGTTGCTTTTGGTGTTTATCACATTAGCAAAGAACAAACTAACACAAGAAGCCATTTCTCAGCTCCGTCACCTCATGGCATGCCCAGCAATGACAAGCGCATGTGCAGACACAAGCCACATAGTGTTTTACATTAGAGAGCAAAGGAAGGGCTAGGCTCATTCCCTTATGAGGATTCAGGAGATAACATTAGGATGACCACTAAGCATCCTCCCCTAAAGGATTTCCCAATCCTACAACATTTTCCAATCCTACCGGCCTAGCGACCAAGTCTTCAGTTATGGAGGACTCCCGGGATACAAACTACAATCTCAATGTAGAACCTCAACAAAATACCAAACATACAGAGACAGAAAACAAAACCGTTGTTGCCATGGCACAGGGGTAGTGTGATCAGAGGATACGAAGCAGGTGGGCAGGATGAGCACTCTAAAGACTAATGCACTTGAGGGACAGTAATAAAACAGGGCTGAACTAAACAGGGGTTTAGCTGCCCTTGTCATAAAGCAGCAACAAACAGATGTGTTACAGAGACAGACATATCCATTTGCTTCACTACGGAAACCTCTTCTAAAAATCCTCATGTACCCCACAGCATCAAGTTATGCACCTTAAATAGACACAGAGTTTGTTTCTTTTAATGAGGGGGAAGACTTTGATAAAAGTCAATATCCATTCTTGATTTAAATAAAACTCTTCCTAGAAAGCTGAGGCTAGAAGGACACATGTTCAATTTGATAAAGGCTATTTACTGCTACTCTTCAACACTTTTGTTAGAAAATAGAAGCCTGCTACTCTTAACACCTTTGTTAGAAAATAGAAGGGAGCAAAAACAAGCAAAAGAAAAGGCTGTCAGGGTTTACTGCTGTGGTTATTTGTCTAGATGATACAAAGTGATTACACAGCCTGCTAACACAAGAGAGAGTAAGGTTCAGTAAAGAGGCCAGCAGTGCCAGGATGGGAGAGAGAGAACAAGGCACTCTCAGGACAGGGGACAGTGTGGTGGAGGAACTCACAGTGAAGTGTGTGTGTGAGACAGTGAAGTGTGTGTGTGAGCTCTACACCTGCATGCCAGACCCCAAGAGTCTCTCCCTGTTATTAGACTAATCTTTGAAATAGTGAGTTCGTGTGGAGATGTGTGCACGTAAGTGTGGATGCCTAAAGAGGCCAAAAGCAGACATCAAATTCCCTGGAGCTGGAGCTACAGACAGTTGTGAGTCTCCTGACGTAGGTTGCTGAGAACCAAACTCAGACTCTCTGCAAGAGCAACAAGTACTCTTAATCACAGAGTCATCTCTCTATCTCTCCATTCCCCCCTTTTCTTTCTGAGAGTATCTCTTTAAATTCTTTACCTTTATTCTATGCAACATACAGAAAAAAATCACTAAGTTAAATAGGCACCAATGTGGTAGAGATTTTGTTTGTTTATTTTTTAGACAGGGTCCTACTTTGTAGCTCTGATTGTCTGCTGTCTGTCTTAGAACTCACCGTGTAGAATAGGTTGACCTTGAACTTTCAGAGATCCACCTGCCTCTGCTTCTTGAGAGTTGGGATTGAAGTTGTGAGCCACCATGCCAGGCTTCTTGTCATTGTTTTTTGTTTTATTTATTTATTTATTTATTTATTTATTTATTTATTTATACTCCCCAGCCCTGAACACTTCTATTTGGAGGAGACTCAACCACTGCTTACATCTTGAAGAATGTTTCTTCTTTGAGACAGAATTTCATGTACCACAGGCTGGCCTCATACTTGCTCTGTAGTCAAGGATGATCCTGAACTCATGACCTTCCTAGGTGGACCTCCCAAATGCTGTGAGAGTATGCCTCCATGCTGGTGACTGAGTAAGCAAACTTTGCCCAGAGTGATGGTGCCATGTGTTACTTATGCAGCTTGAGACAAAGTGTAACTTAAAGGGTGGAAGAAAGGGCTCTAGCAAGGGACCCCATTTCAGATGTTTGTGGGTCCTCTGTTCAACATTCAGGAAAGGGTGTGCTCCATGCACCCCAGAACAGGCAGTCTGCACCATCTCCCAAAGCAGTCCAAGATGAAAATGAACTCCATCATTCACTTGTCTTGGTGGATTGCATTGTTACAGTGGCAGGGGCAAATCCAGGTTGCACAGGGTCCCCTTTAGGGGAAAGAACAAAATCAGGGCATGGCAGTGTATGTGTGGAATCCCAGCACTGGGAGGTGGTGAAAAACTGCTAGTTCTAGGCTAGTGTGGGTTACATGGACACTGCCTCAAAGACAAATACCCATAAAGTTAGGAACCCAAAATGCCCACAGCCATTCTAACACCACTCAACACGAGGGAGATTACAGCAGAGGGAAATTAGAATCTCAAGTGATGGCAATTAACAATATTTTTGCAAATTTTATAAAAATCAAAGACGATATAACTGCATCTCGGGGGGCCCCACCATGGCCTTGGGAGGAGCTTACAAAGTGGTGGGGCTGCAGTTAAGCTCCCTTAGCTTCAGAGAGACCTGTCTCAGCTCACACAGTTTGAGGTTGTCTTCAGTGGTTGTAAGACTTGAGATGAGACACAGAGATGCTGGGAGCAGGACCCCAGCAGGACATTTTACCAGTACGCTTGATGTACTTTTCACTTATAAGCAGGACCCTTTCAGATGTGACTTAAGTTTCTCTGAATATTTAAAGTTGCTTACCGTTTCTACACTTTCTGTAAGAGCAGAGTCGGGAGTGCTCTGAGGAAGGAAAAAGGAGTGGGAATGAGTTCACGATGCGTTTGATGTGTGCTCCTGACTCCCTGCTGTCTTCAGAGATGTTCTTTCTCCCCTGGACCCATTTCCTCCTTTAAGAAATGAATTCATGGGAAAGGCTGAGGTCCCAGGACTCAGGAGGTAGAGGCAGCCGCTTATCAGTGAGTTCAAGGCCAGCCTGGTCTACAAAGTGAATTCCAGGACAGCCAGGGCTGTTACACAGAGAAGCCCTGTCTTAAAAAACAAAACAACAAACAGCAACAACAAAAAGAAGCAAATTCATGGAGTACACATGGAGGTCCAACATCTAGCCTGTAGGGTTTCAGGACATGATGCCCGCCCGTTCTTCAGGACCTTAAACTGTGGAGAAAGATGAAGTACTAACCACTATGGGTGTGTGGTGAGTGGATCAGCTAGGACATCATTACAAAAACCAACATTGGAGAAGCTTGAAATGAAGGTTTCTTTTATCTTTTATTATATTTTAAATTATTTTTATTTTATTTTAATTAATTTTCAATAAATTTTAATATTTAATTAATAGGTACAATTTAAATAATTTAATAATTAATTTACTTTTAGTTGTTTGTGAGAGGGAGCCTCGTGTGTGCCATGGTTTGCTTGTGGGACAACCTATGGGAGTCAGTTCTCTCCTGCCATGTGGGTCTCAGGGGTCAAACTTAGGTTGTCCAATTTGGCAGTATGTTCCTTTACCCACTGAGCCATCTCCAGGGCCCTCCTTTCCTTTTCAAAATTTACATGTATGTATAGAGCATCGTGTGATGGTGTTCTTGCACATCACATGGGTATATTATTGTGTTCCTTTTTTTTTTTTTTTTTTTTTTTTTTTTTTTTTTGAGACAGGGTCTTACTTTGTAGCACTGGCTGTCCTGGAACTCACTATGTAGATCAGGCTGGTCTTGAACTCACAGAGATCTGCCTGCCTCTGCCTCCAGAATGTTGGGATTAAAGGAGTGTACCACCATGCCCAGCAGTCTGTGTTGGGTTCCTAAAGTGACTATTTCTAATTTGGAAAATATAGTGATGATGATAACAGTTTACATTTAAGTAACTCCAGGTATAATTTACAGTGTAAGGTCTTCCACTATTACATGCCGGTTGACCCTTGGTGTATGAAAAAAAACAAGTGACTGGCCATTCAGTGGTGGTGGACACCTTTAATCCCAGCACTCAGATTTCTGAGTTCTAGGCCAGCCTGGTCTACAGAGCTTAGGGAGGACAGAAAAACAGTGATTGAAACAGATGTTTCCTACCAGTTGCAGCTGTTTGGTTTTTTTCTTTGGATTCAGAGTAAACTGTGGGTGCTCCACTTCCTTTAGCCAAGTCTCCTTGGGCAATTTATATACTTCCAGCCAAATGTCCCCAGCTCCTGCATTGGGAAACCAAACAAGCAAGCATTAAGTAACTGCTTGCAGGCGACAAGTTTCAGCTGAAGAATGTCTGTTTTCTCAGAAGTGCTGGCTGGAGACCCAGAACCTTTGCAGCAGGCACCCATGGAAGGGGGGTTTGCATAAGCTGAAGCAATGGTTATGCCAAGCCCTCACTCACCAAGCAACCTTTGTACGGAGAGTTGGCCCCTTATGCCACTGCTATCTAATGGAATCAGGGGCTTCTCCCACAACACTGACATAACTGCATTTTTAATCAAACTGTCTTCTATGCCAACTCCCCTATTTTCAGTGTTGCAAATAGTTCTACTGACATTCTGTCCTAATGTTGACATTGCCACCTAGGGAAGGAAGGTGGCACATGTGAGCATAGTAAGAGAGTCTTAGAGCAAAGGAAGAGGTGGAATGGGGGCAGAACCTAAAGAATTCTTGTGGCCAACATTTGAGATGATGATCTATGGGATGCTGTTGGACCTTCTCCCATCACAAGAACAGGCTGGGCTCCTGTTCTGAATACTGAACCAGTTGGGAAAGGTTGCTTTCCCATGGACTAGAATCCTGCCTCTATGTTCCATTAAAAAAATAGTCATCTGGACACTTTAATTTCACACTTCTGGTTCTCAGAGCCATGAGGGAATGAATGCCTATCATTCTATGTCATCCACTTTGTGATACTTTGTTATGACAGCCCAAGAACATGAATACATGAGTGCTTTGCCTGTATGTTTGTACATTATGTATATGACTGGTACCTGCAGAAGTCAAAAGAGTGTGTTAGAATATGGTTGTTAGCTGCTATATTGATACTGGGACTCCAACCTGGGTCCTCTGGAAGAGCAGTCTGCATTTAACTGCTTGAGCCATCTCTCCAGTCCCTACCCCATCCTTCGATACAAAAAGCACTCTAAAATCTCTATCTTCCTCAAGCATTTAGCTTTTGAGGGCCCTTTGGGAAAAAAGTATAAATCCAGACTCATATGAAATATGTTCAAATATTTAAAAGCTGAAAATCAAACTACCAAACATTTGAATCAAATATGTTTTGTTGACACAGGCATAACTGCAGCCAGCAACATGGGATAATGAGCTAAGATTGGCAGGTAAAACTTTAAAGGGGATTAAGATATCTGAGAAGACACAGATATGTTAATTCTTAAAGTTTTACCTGCCAGATCTCTGAGTTTGAAGTCAGCCTGGTCTGCAGAGCGAATTCCAGGACAGCCAAGGCTACACAGAGAAAACCTTGTCTTGAAAAACAAAATAAAAAGTTTTACCCACCAGGGGCTGGAGAGGTGGCTCAGAGGTTAAGGGCACTGACTGCTCTTCCAGAGGTCCTGAGTTCAATTCCCAGCAACCACATGGTTGCTCACAACCATCTGTTATGAGATCTGGTGCCCTCTTCTGGTGTGCAGATATACATGGAAGCAGAATGCTATATTCATAATAAATAAATAAAGTCTTTAAAAAAAGTTTTACCCACCAATCTTAACACCCTCTGCATATATGTTATGGTTGTGTAGCTTGATGGGATTCTTAACAGTGGGAACGGGGCTGTCTCTGACTCTTTTGCCTGCTTTTGGGACCCCTTTCCTCCTACTGGGCTGCCTCACCCAGGCTTAATATGAGGGATGTTCCTGGTCTTACTGCAACTTGATATACTTGTTTGGTTGATATCCCTGGGAGACCTGCCCCTTTCTGAAGGGAAATGGAGGAGGATTGGATCTGGGGGAGAAGGTGAAGAAGAAAACCTGGTCAGAATGCAATATATGAGAGAAGAATTAAAAACAAAGAAAGAAAATAATACAAAAAGATGTTTGAATGTTTTCAAAGCAGCTGCCCCCAATGTCTAATAATTACAATAGTGGTTGTTAACATATATCCAAATGGTCTGATTCTCCTGCCTCTGGGAGACACCTAAATCACCCTCCTCTGAGTGCTGTCTGCACTTAGTGACTGAAAGGGGAAAGGTAAGCTAGGCATGGTAGTGTAGACCTGGAGTCACAACTACTCTAGGGGTTGAGGCAGGAGGATTGCTTGAGCTCAGCCTTTAGGAACCTGTGATCCAGGCAGAAAAAGTGAATCAACTCGGGATCACACAGTTCCTGAGACAGTGCCTGGCCCCGTGCTGGCTTCTCCCTACATCCTCAGCCTTGGCTGAGCCATGAGAAAAAAGGCAGACATGCTGCAGTGAAGGGTATCAACTGGTTGAAGCTCCTGAAAAATGTCAAGATAATGGAAACCAAACAAAGACCAAGAAGCTGTCGCAGGAGTACAGTAGGTGACATATGACTCAATGAGATATTGTATCCTTGCCTAAAGCAAGGAGAGAAAAAAGACAGCAAAAAAAAAAAAAAAGATGAAGCCATGGGAAAACCAGTCAGCAGGGGCTAGTCAGTGATGCAGTACCCCTGTTATTGGATCCGTTTCCACACCCACCCCATAGGGTAAATATAGGCATTAGCGATGACTACAGAGGAACTATGTGCTGGCTTTGCTACTCTTCTGTTTTTTTAAAATACCTTATTTATTTTCTGTGTATGAGTGTTTTGCCTCCAGGTATGTCTGTATTCCACCTGTGTGCAGGGCCCGGGAGAGGGTGTCAGATCTCCTGGAACTGGAGTTACAGATGGTTGTGAGTTGTCATGCGGATGCTGGGAATCAAACCCTGGCCCTCTGGAAGAGCAGCCAGTGCTCTTGATCGATGATCTACCTCCCCAGTCCTTGCTATTTTTTTTTTAAATTGAAAGTTATTTCTTTTGTTTGGTTTTGGTTTCTGAGACAGGTTCTCCCTATGTAGCCTTGTGGTCATGATCCTTCTAGTTGAGCCACCCTGGTGCTAGGATTACAGGTGTGTACCTCCACACATATCCAAATGTAAAGGGATTCCTAAATGAAAGGTCTACAGTGAAAGTCTGGAAGAGACACAAATGGGAACCTCCCTCATAGTTTTTGGGTGAGCTTGCCTTGGAGGAGAAACGCTGCGTAGTCCCCGCTTGGAGAGAGTTCCATCTTCACACAGGTGCTTTGCTTGCTGATATCATCCTGAAAAGAAGAGGTGCCAACAGAGTGAGTGCCGGCTGCTAAAAGGGAGGAGCATATGGCAGGGGCTCCTGTGGTTTACATCAGGACAGGGGTCTTCCAGAAGCTTGCGATGGCAAGATGCTTCACGTTGCTTCACATTTCCCATCTTTGTCCAGGAACTGGGCAAGACAGCAATGTGAAGAAATGGAGCTTGCTTTAGACATAGCTCCTCACAGGTCATGGAATGACATTAGATGTGGGTTGCAAACCCTAAAGTCAATTATTCAGCTGAGTCAAAGTAAGTTCTGAAAACTGGTGCTTGTTGGACAAAGCCTCTAGCTGGACTACAGCAGAAGCTGGGAGTAGCCTTGGAATAAAGCTCCTCCAATTTGGGGCCAACTGAGAGAATCTGGGGATAGGTATGCTATCTTGAAGGATCTTGAGAGCTACTAAGAAAATAAGCTCCCTAATTTGTTTAAAGAGTAAGCAATTATTATTTATCAATCTCAATATCAACTTACTACAAAGATTTTCAAACATATAAAAAGGAAGTGGCAAATCAGTCTCCCATGTGGCCCTCATAATGCTCCACTGGGCCTGTACAAGGCTCCATTATGTTATAGCACAGTTCCTCTGGGACATAAAAATGCTCAATTGTGGCATCATAGTGCAGCACCATTACCTCAAAATGCTGACTTGTGCCAACACAATGCTTCATGGTGACATCACAATTCTCCATTCTGTAATCTTAATGCTGCTTGTGATGTCACAGTGCTCCCTTGTGCTATCATAATATTGTACTGTGCCACCACAACGCTGGACTGTGACAAGATCATGTTCTATTGCATCATCAGAATGTTTCATTGAGGCATTACAGTGCTACATTGTATCATCAGAGTGCTGCACTGTGGCATCATAATTCTGCATTGTAACACTGCTTTGTGTTATAATGGCTTACTGCATCATCACAATTTTGCATGTAAACATCATAATTCTGCATTGTGCCTTTACAATTCAATTTTGTCAATACAATACTGCACTGTGATGTCATAAACTCCACTGTAACATCACATTGCCCCCAACTGATGTCACATTGCTTAACTGTGCTGTCACAATGTTGCATTGGACAATTTGCAATTGTGTCATCAAATGTTGTAAGGTACATTAAAATGCTTCTTTGAACCATCACAATGATACATTGTGACATCGCCATTACTGCACTGTGACATCACAATGATGCATTGTGACATACCATTACTGCACTGTGACATAACAATGATGCATTGTGACATCACTATACTGCACTGTGACATCACAATGATGTATTGTGACATCACTATACTGCACCGTAACATCACAATGATGCATTGTGACATCACTATACTGCACCGTAACATCACAATGATGCATTGTGACATCGCTATACTGTACTGTGACATCACAATGATGCATTGTGACATCGCCATACTGCACTGTGACATCGCTATACTGCACTGTGACATCACAATGATGCATTGTGACATCGCTATACTGCACTGTGACATCACAATGATGCATTGTGACATCGCTATACTGCACTGTGACATCACAATGATGCAGTGTGACATTGCTATACTGCACTGTAACATCACAATGACACATTGTGTCATCACTGATACTGCACTGTGACATCACAATGATGCATTGTGACTTCGCTATTGCACTGTAACATCACAATGATGCATTGTGACTTCGCTATACTGCACTGTAACAATATTGCACTTGTGAGTCTTCAAACCTCCACTGTGCCAATAAGAAGCTCTACTGTATCATCATGATGTCTTGTGGCATCACAATTTTAGTTGTACTTATTACCTCCCAAACCCAATAAATTGCTAATATTTATATAAGCCCACATTATGAATTCTCAAGTAAAGCTAATAACTAGTCTGTTTTTCAGTTACCTCAGAGAGGATATCAATAATTTTCACAATTGCTATGTTCATATCACAATCAAAAAGTCCACCAGGCATAGTGGTGCACACCTTTAATCCAGAGGCAGACAGATATCTACAAGTCCAAAGATGGCCTGGTCTATACAGCACATTCCAGACCAGGCAGGGCAATGTAGAGAGACCCTGACTCAAAAAACAAAAACAAACAAACAAAACCCCCAAAGTCCATGGGACTGGGAAGATGGCTCAGTTTGGCAAAGTGCTTGCTATGCAAGCATGAGGACCTGAGTTTGGATCCCTAGCATTCATGTAAAAAGTTGCATATAAACTGTCAAAATATAAATTTGATGATGATGATGATGATGAGTTGGGGGTAGTGGCATGTGACTGTAATCCCCACACTGGGGAGGTGGAGAAAAGAAGGCCCTGAGCTGGTTTTGACTCTAGTCATATCAGTGAGCTATAAACAGATTCAGTGAGATCCTGTGCCCACTTAAGGTGGAGAGTGATTGAGGAAGACCTCTGGCTTTCACATAGATGCACACTGATCTGCACATATGTGTACACACACACACACACACACACACACACACACACACACACACACACAAGCCAAACTGCAATTAAAAACCTTCAATTACTATAGTTTTGAGAACTCATTAATTAAAAAATACTGAGAAGTATAGTCCTTTCTGAATCCCACAGTGGAGATGCCAATTCCTGAAAGTTATCCTCTAACCTCCACCTGTGTGCAGTGACTACTCTCTCTCTCTCTTTCTCTCCCCTCTCTCTCTCTCCTTCTCTCCCCTCTCTCTCCTCTCTCTCTCTCTCTCTCTCTCTCTCTCTCTCTCTCACACACACACACACACCACACATACAAAATCAACTTCTACTTTGCATTCCATGACTATCATGTATATGTGTGTATGTACATACACATGTATTTATTTTAATGTGTGTATCTTTGAGAGTATATGCCGTGTGTGGCGTGGGTGCCCAAGGAGGCTGGAAGAAGGTGTCATATACCTGGGGCTGCCTATGTAGGTACTGGGAAGAGCAGCAGGCACTCTTATTGGCTAAGCTATCCCTCCAGCCCTGCATTTGCATCCTTCAACTCCTGCTGTGCTTTGGGCATTTTCATGACCCAGTTCTAAGGCTCTCTGGAAGCTGTTGACAGACCATCCCATCCCTTAGTGAGAGGGGACTTGCCTTATCATATATGTCCCCACACAAACCTTTCATCCAGTCTCATTGACTGTGTGAATCTCCAAGAGCTTCACAGAGCTTTGCAAGCATGGACTGGCTGCTTGGTTACCATAGCAGCTGGCATTTTCCAAGCAGGAATCTATGGTGGTTGTAGAACAGAGTTTCAGTGGAGTCTTTCTTGGCATGGGATTCATTTCCGTGTTCCTCCAAGACTGTGCTACCTTCTTTGTTTCTTTGTCCTTGAGCAGTCCTGGGTTAGTCACTGCCATTTCTACCCTGTACTCTGGAGCAGCCCCCATTTTACCATCAGGACCAGAGAGCCAGGGAAAAGGAAGGCATTTGTTTTTAATCTGGACAGGCAGTTACTATAAAAAGTAATTTAAAAATTACTAGAGGGGCCGGGTGTTGGTGGCGCACGCCTTTAATCCCAGCACTCGGGAGGCAGAGGCAGGTGGATCTCTGTGAGTTCGAGGCCAGCCTGGTCTCCAGAGCAACTGCCAGGATAGGCTCCAAAGCTACACAGAGAAACCCTGTCTTGAAAAACCAAAAAAAAAAAAAAAATTACTAGAGGTTGTAGAGCCCCGAGGTTTGAGAAGATTTCCCAACCACAATGATGGTGGAGGTGGTTTACAATGACCATGTGCACCAAGTGCTACCCTGACACCACCTGGGACCTGAAGACACTGGTATAGCCCAGACTGGTGTCCATCAGAGCAAGATTGCTCTTTAAAAGTAGAACACAACTTTTAAGGACCATGCGTCTCTGGAGATGACAAAATCTATGATGGGATGAACCTGGAACTTTATTACCAAAAGGGGAATTTCTTTCCCTTGCCCTGCCCTGCCTTCCTCACTTCACAACTGGCATGGATGCCTATTTTAAACAATTCACATAAATAGAAACTTCAGTGCAGAATAAAGCAATTTTGAAATATCTCTCTCTCTCTCTCTCTCTCTCTCTCTCTCTCTCTCTCT